ATAGCATGTCGACTCTGGCGACATGGACACAAATTGAGACTATCCACTTCACTATACCAAACATTGTGTGCACTGTAGAGAAAGGATCGACGTTCTGTGTAAATCTTAGGAGTTCTAGGCCACTTTATCCGTAGAAGTGTTCGTTGTTTTTTGTTAAAAGACTTCGGTATTTTCGTAAAGTTAATTATACACCCACAGTACAGCAATGACACAACTCTTACACGTACATTATCGCCCTATATACACACGTCGCCTACACACACGAATACCCTGCTAGTGCATCGGGTCGTGCGTCGATGTTCGCAGCACACACCTGACGCACACACACACTATTCCGCGTCGTGATCGTTTAGGTCTGTGTTCTCACACACACACTTCACACAGACACTACTACGAGCTTACAATTATAATGTACGTAAATGAACATCTAACTTATGTCATATATGTACTCAACTAGTGGCTATTTGTGAGGATGATCCGTCCTTCTGTAGTTGTATGTGACTTACTAGCTATCCACTCCGTCCTTATAATTAGTGTGCTTCATTTTTAACTGTCTCGGCAGAATACCGCACGGACATGAGTGCAAGCGAAAAAAGCTGATAAGTATGTAATTCACACTTAACATATTACGATACCACTACAACCAACTACACATATACGAATGACATCATGAGAAATGAATACATCGCGTATTATTACGTCCTGGAGACTGTATACCACCTCCTATAGAGATCAGTGGTTTCCAGGCGACAATAGTCAGCTATGACATTGACTGACATAACAGTGTACTCTAGTGTTCACACGTATGGCGTCCAGGACGGGGGGACCACCTAGGAACTAGCGTATCGTCGACGTGTAATGCTGTCGTAAAATAGAGGTCTGTGTTGATCCCGCCCAGAGTTCAGTTCGACCTCCAAAAAGGGAACTCGCTCCCGTCTAGTGGTGGTTTATGCCGGGAGACGCAAGTTTGACAGACTTTACTAGCGATGTAGACATTGTTGCAAAGTTTATCGTAGAGAACCTATTGTAAAATTAATTATTGTTTATTTTGAGCTTTGTAGATTAACACTACAAATTATTCAGAAGAATCAAACGTTGTCCGACATATTATATGTGTGAAATATTCTTTTACAGTATCCATTACTGATCCGACGCATGGCCATGCGGCTTGGCCAGATTCCCTGAACATTTTTCAAAGCCAAAGTAAGGCCAATTTTGGCCTTGTTAGCCCTTGGCCTTGAATGCATATAAGAGAAACACCAAGATTTTGGTTAGTAGATTTTGGAAAGGTATCTAGCTCTTTAAACGTAGACTCTTTCTGCTTTTGTAACAAACCGAAGACTATACCGCAGGTAATGACCTCGAGTGCTTCAGAGCGTTTTATAGTCGTTGACGAGCGACTCTAGAAACACCTGCAGTCTTCGACCGAGAATTCTGTATCACCCTGTGAACTTCGCACCCTAACGGCCAACGAGTATAAACCACTCCGGCATGAACTGGTCGGAAGCGTCAATAAGAGCACGGTTGTATGCAAATTATGCAAAAAGGAATTCGCTTATCACCGCAGCACATCAAGCCTCAAGTATCACCTCAATGCAAAACATATAGCAGCTAGCGTGGAAGCTAGCGTGCACGTTAGCCCGACTCCGAGTACAAGGACCCACACCATACTTGCCCTCAGAAATCGGGAGCATTTCAAAATGCAAAATTGGGGGGGGGTGGGTGCTAGTGGATCGCCGGAGCTGTTAGATTAACATTAACATGCTTATTGTAGCTGTAAGTGCACTGCCTTGCGGCCTGTAGCACCGTCCTTGATGGAGCATATGTGTGGACTGGACCTGCATTTTACAGGAAAGGAGTGAGCAGAGAGTAGAGTAGTTGTCGATTCTCGTTCTGTTTTCTGTGAATATCTGCCTCATCCTCTCAGACTTTGAGTTGCGCGCGCTACTAAAGACACGTGTTACCATGGAAACCAAACAATGTTGTAGCTGTATTAAAGTCCGAGTGGAAACAGTCGTGTGTAAATCTGATTTTGTCAGAAATCGGGAGAAATGCGGTAGAAATATGACCCCGGGAGGAAACCGGGAGAGGGCAATGAAATCGGGAGTCTACCGCGAAAATCGGGAGGGTTGACAAGTATGACCCACACCCAACCCACACTCAACCAGATGACTGGTTTCAGGGCCAGGATAACTAAGTCCACCTCTGAAAAAATAACCAGCTCACTGGATTGCACTCGACTGTAGACCACTTGGAGTGGTAGAAGATAAGGGGCTGCAAAAGCTACTACAGATTGCATCGTCTGACACAACATATGAGCTGCCATGCAGAAAGACAGTGACAAAAAGAATCCAGCAGCTTTATGACAATGAAAAGTAAGATAAAGGGAATTTATTGGAGAAAGCCGAATGTGTTGCCCTGACTGGGGATCATTGGACCTCGGTAAGCAATTCAAATTACCTCTGTGTGACGGCACACTTTATTGACATCTTCTCACTGTTCTCAGGTCAAATATTTATATGTGATTAAAAATGCGATTAATTTCGATTAATTAATTACAAAACCTCTAATTAATTAGATTAATTTTTTTAATCGAGTCCCGGCCCTAGTTATTGAACAAAAGTTACATACAATCAAAAAACTGCTGCGGGTAAAATTTACCCATTGGCGGTTCTAGTGTTAAACAGTGGAATAAAACTATTTTTAAACTACTGGAAAGCACAGAAAATGTGTGTGTATTGAGATTAACCATAAAGATGACATACACATGACGTCATGAACCTAAAACACTTGTAGCCAGTCTCTGCATTCCCCTTATTCCACAATAACGGGAATGTCAACACAGACACCTGTCAGCACGCACTCTGCTGTTCCTCAGCACCACTCCCCCTCCCTCCCGCTGAAATTACGAATGAAAAGCGTAGTAATCATAGATAACACGGCAGGGTCCGTGACAGTTTGTTTTCATCTGATTTCAAATAAACAAAGTCTTGGTTTTAAGAATATTAAACTTGTTTCGCCAAATTCAGATGATAAAAACAACTTTTAAGTTTGTAAAGGCATAATTACAAGAGGCAACTTAACGTCACAGCAGGTATAACAACAGCTGGTGTTTCTTGTGAGGGTTTCCCCGGGAAACAAACACAATACACACAAATGCGTCACAGATTATTTTGCGGTATTTGAAGTCATGTACGCAGCTCGCGACGTAACTAGGAGTCTAGTGGACGGTATCAGTACTATTTTTTTATTAATTACGTTGTTTATAAATTAATCTGAGGGCCGCAAAAAGAGGAGGTGGGGGCCGCATGCGGCCCGCGGGCCGCCATTTGCCCATCCCTGATCTATGGTATAAGTGGTAAATGTGTATTGTAAATCTAAAGTAAAACATAAATGTAATCTATTACAACAAAAGAGGACATTTCAGTATTTAATGTTATTCATTACTTATTAGCCGTTCATGAGTAGAACTAGTCTGAAATGAACCAACAACCAAGGTAAGAGGTAATCCCCAGCTCCATTATACTGGGAAGGAAATCAATTGTAAAAACGTGCATATCACACTCAACTGATTTAATACATAGTGATGAAGTGCTGAGGCAAAACCTCATTACTGTAACTCTGCCTTGTTATAGTCTCGTGATAGCTGCTCTGTGGCCTGGTAGACAGGACATTTTCAATAACAGATTCTGAAAGCAGATCTTTTCAGTTGCGTTTCTTTTTGGCCTCAGCTATTAGAAAATACGGACCACAGCTAAGATGTTCCTAGCCTGAGCATCAACATAATTACAAAAGAAAATGTTATGACGAATGACTCAGTAAATGCTAAAACAAAACAAAGGCTGGTTGAGGAAACAATGGACAGTTGCAAAGAATGAAGAAGTCAAAGATTTTTGTGAAAATGAAACTAGGCAGGATCTGTGGCACAGAAAAAGAGAAGAGACTAAAAAAAGAGTATCGAGAAACATATTTCAAACTATCCAAGGGAAAACTGAGCTATTGAAAGCAACAGTGTCTCCATGCTGTTGACAGCTCGGGGTTAAGGGCCTTTTTCTGCACTCTCACTTCCCCTGGCGATGCATGACAGGGCCTCCGTGGTCTTTTGTGTCCCTCAGTGTTACGTAAGCCATGTAGGCTGAACAGGCAGATACAGACAGCGAACAGAGGACAGGCCTGTGAAGCTGAAGGGACCCCACTGTTTAGAGGCTTGTCCAACTGGACAGAGTACAGCGGCCCACTGACGGGGCACTGAGGAGAATTCAACTAGGGTGGGAACCTACCCTAGGCCTCCAAGCATCAGCAAAATTAGGGTTGATTTGAAAATCTACTCTACAAATCAAGTTAGCTGAAAGTTAGTGAGGAATTTCAAGATGTACCAGCTAATGTGGCCTGTACAAAAAGCCAGTTTGGTGAAGGAGAAAGAGGAGTGGGATGAGCTACAGACACGAGGGTGTACGACACAGGGAAGTAAGGGGGCAAGCTGGCAAAGGAAGCAAGGGACAGAAGAGGAAGCTGAGGAGGTATAGTGAAGTGAAACTAAAGCCTTCTATCGACTGCTGATCGAGCAGATTTACAACATTTCAGTTTATAAACAGCATCTGACATTACACTTAATAAATAAGGTTTAAGGTTCCCTCTTGATTTTGTTGACATTTTGAAAATGAATTGCTTAAGATTGGTTGCTAAGGGTCTTAAGTTTAGAGTATTGAGACAACTTTTTTAATATTTGCTCATTTAGTAAGAAATCCAGGGGAACTTCCACATAAAAGTCATGGGTTTTGGGGTGGGAGAGAAAAATGTACAAAAACCTTTAAAACGCACTACAAGAAAGGGAAAAAACCTTAAAAGCATAATAAGGGCATCTTTGAGGAGGTTTTTGTTGAGGACGTTTTTAAGTGACACATTTTGCTTTTAGTCCTCCCCGAACATTTTTGTCCCCCGATTCTGATCCTCCTACCAGGAATATTGTGCTTTGGCCTATTCAAGACGGGGGGATTAACGTTCTCCTCACCTTCAGGTCTCTGTGGATGACGGGCGTCTTGCATTGGTGGAGGCGGGCCACGGCCTCACAGGTGTCGCAGAAGATGTGGAGGACCTCGGCCTCAGTGAAGCCCACATTCAGCCGCTGGTTCATCTGCTTCACCACCTGGCCCGCTGCAGCAGAGGGGTGGAGGGACAGCTTTAGCTAGGGTCATCAGTTCAGGCTTGGAAACCAAATACCACCCAGCATGTTCGATGTTTATACAAAAACACAATTTTCCAACTGGCATGGTTGCATTTATCCTCTTTATGGTTCCATACTCAAGATGACCCGATTGAAACTTACATTTACAAGATGGTGATGGGAAATTGAAATGAATAAAGACATAGCACAGGATATGTGGGAATAAACATGTACAGAAGCACATCTAGTCAGCATCTCCAGTACATGGAGGGAATTTAAAAGGATCACAAAACGAAAATGGGCTTGACAAACTCAAATGAATGCTGGGGAAATTACAGTTAAGTGGTAACATTTTTTGTTAAAAAAAACAAACAAAAACATTGTCTATGTCTTCAAACAAATATATTTATTAAAAAAGATGGAGTTCTGCCATTCTTTCTTCTTCTATTAATTGGTTCTCTTTCTTTCATATTTTGTGGAAAAAATAGTTTGTTTACATGAGGATGTGACCAGAACTTTAGCCCGGCGCGGGAATATTATTTCACATTTCATTTGTAATGTTGGATGTTCAATAAAAAGTTCAGTTTGAAAGGATGTACTTGAATTATTATTATATTTTATCATTATGTCAGTGGTCTAAAATGATCTTACAACGGTGCCGACAATATTATCGTTTATTGTAATAATTTCCAGGAAAATATATCGTCCAACAAAATTAATTATTGTGACAGGTGATCATATCATGGTTTAAGAAACCGAGGGGCTGTACCTTTACAGTATTCCATGAGGATCAGGAGCTCCCAGACGCTTTCCGACACCGCGTTGATGGTGGAGTCCAGGTAGCCCACAATGTTCTTGTGACCTGACAGCTCCTTCTACATAAGGAATGAAAAAAAAATGGAACTGATTAGGGCGGAAAGACACATGAGTAATAATGAAAAAGATGAAGCTCTTTAGGTCAAGAATGTCATTGTTAAGGAAATAGCTTCAACTGCACAAGCCGAAAAAAACACAGGGTAATTATAGACGACTACAAAGGGAATATGTGGATTGACTACACACACTTTTGCAAAAGCAAGTGTAACCATGTAAGTGCTATTGAGTGTTAGTGTTCAAAATGAGTGATGCTCTGCTGTTTATTCATGCTTTTTAAGGGGACTAAGCACTAACAAATGTCCAACACTGACTTAGATACCTACATGTTGCCCTACAAACAAGCAACTTCTGAGTCCTGAAGGCACGCGTATCTACATACTGGTTGTGCTATGTATGAGCAGTAGGAATGGAAGTCGTTTTCATTTGAACGATACTACTCCTCTAACCGATACTGCTTATCGATATCGGTCCTTTGTTATTTCTTTATTTTTTAAAAGGGAAAAGCAAAAACATTGGGAACAGAATGAATATTCCTTTTGTTTTAATGTAAAAATAAATAAATTAACAATTATTTAGTACCCATCCCTAATGAGCAGTGTCAAGCTATGAAAACCACATTCAAATTTGCAACTGACCATAGGAAAGACTGCTTGTGATCTCTTTCTCCGATAAAGTAAAAACATTTAATCAATTTAAGTCTTATTGTCTATAGTCAAGCTACTGCATGTGGCAACTGGAGTGCTTGCTCTACTCCTTCATGTTCTTACGCCATGCTGCGCTCCACTAATCTTTCTAAACTTGATTCATTTGCTGGATTAAACCATGACAGTGTTTGTGGTTGTTGGTTGTTAAACACCAGCATGAGAGCAGAGGTTTGCTGTGTGTTTTGGAAACCGCCACACCTAAGGCGACGTCCCAAGAGGCTAGAACTATGTCAATGAGTAAGGTCAGCTGTGTGGGTTAGTATTATACAGCTGATGAGGGAAGTGAACAGACACAAAGCCGACCAAACAGCTCAGAGTGAGCTGTTCACTGACACACAGGGGTCCAAGGTTCAGGAAGGGACATATGCCGTTGTCCAAGTCGTGCATGTCTGCTAGGTTAAAGGAGACATTAAAAATATCTTCGCTTTGAATGACCTAAAACACAACTAGAATTGTATGCTGTACTGATGCAAGTGCAAGCTCTGTGTAATACAAAAGTATTTGTCAATGTACTTGTACAAGGTATTATTAAAAGCACATAGCCAAAGGGCTTTAGCTCTTGTCAGACTGGAAATGAAACAGGATGGTTTAGGAAGGTGGAATGAAGCAATGTACAGTATATGCGCCTGGCTTTATGGGAGCATGCGTCTTTATGAGGGATTTTGTCCTACTTTAAACAGGAATTAAGGTCCTTAAATTAAATATGTGAAACATACAATGCCCCCGTGAAATGTTCAAATAATGAGCAAAGTATATTTCGGTGCAAATTAAACCCTTTTTGCACTGAAGTTGGGAGAAATCTTTGTTTTCCAGCCACGGAAGGATTAAAGGGGCCCCATTATGTATTTTTGGGTTTTCCCTTTCCTGCCGTTTGTAATATATAGGTTTTTGTGCATGTAAATGGTCTGCAAAGGCTAAATTCCCTCCAGAGGGAGTTTCTCTCCCACACACCCCCTGCCGTGCCTGAAACACATCATTTGTAGTGCTTTGTTTTCTTCCGTAACATAGTGACATCACTAGACAACACTCACGCTTCTATACAACACATTGTAGATGACAGGCTACAGTGCGGGACAGTGATTGATTGACCAATCACAACAGAGCCATCTAACTAAGCGCCTTGGACATTCCTTTGTGCCTGTAGCCATCAGGCTGCACAACCAAGGGTTAACCCTGTGACCCATCAATAACCTGCACTGAACATTAATCATATTTGCACTGTATGCACATGCACATACAACGTATACCTGCTCTGGTATCCTGCATCATAAAAGTATATATTTAACATATTTGTATATATGTACATTCACCAGATCATAGTTTAACTCCAGTTTAACTTGAATTATTTGTTATTTAAATTAATACTGTAAATACGTGTTTATTCTTTTTTGATTTCTTACTTTTTATTTGAATTCCCGTGTATATTCCATGTGTAAAATCTTTGCTTCTTCTTATTTTGCTGCCTTGACACGTGAATTTCCTATGGGGATTATTAAAGGTTCATATAATCTTTTCTAACCAATAAGAGCAGACTGGGCTCTGGTTTCAGACAGAGGGTGAAAAGAGGTGCTGGAGCACAGGCAGTATGAGAAAAATAAAGAGCTGTTTGAACACTAAAGCAGGTAAACATGTCACAGTAATGACACAAAATAAAATTATGAAATGTAAAGAATAGCATAATAGGGCCCCTTTAAAAGGATATGCAGCTAAAACCAAGAATTAGTTTGACACTGCGAAAGAACAGAGAAATACAACTGTGTGGAAATCGTTCAAATTGTGAGCTTGTTATATTATGTTCAACTCCAAAAAAAACAGAAGCAAGCTTCTCTTTCAATAAAGCTTTCAAATCTGACATAACCACACCACAGCGGCACAATTACACATAGGTTTTTATAGGGTTCATTTTAAATTTCCTCTACCATGATTAAAAGTTGTGCAATGAACATTTATAAAAAAAGGAATCTCTTGCAATAAAAACAGGCAGATAACATCTTTAACTTCTACAACCACACAACGCAATGCTGCTCTCACCATGATAGTGATCTCTCTCTTGTACACATTTAGGTCCGGGACGTTGTTGACGTACATCCTTTTGAGTGCACAGCGGACACCACTGTGCGTGCGAGCCAGAAACACCACCGAAAAGCCTCCTGGGAAAACACAAGATGATGAGTTAGCATTACATTACCGTACTCAAATACTTTTCACACATTAAATGTGCTTTATTATAGTGTGGTGGTTTTCAGGAATACTATGTGGGGAAAAAGTTCTTATTGACCATGAAGAATATGTTAGGCATTGCTCACACATGAATTGATTCTCCACAAATGAAAAACAAGACCTATACAATCCCCAAGAGATTTTAAGGTTACACATACAGTGCCCCAAAACACGTAATTTCTCACACCGATATTCCAATTTCTTGTGGCTGTGGAACATACAGGACTACAATACATGGTAGTCCTGAAGAAAGATTAAATCGTACTTGCAAGGTTTTACAAGAATTACATTTAACTAGGTGGGTGTATTTCTGGTAGGAAGTGGAGTATCTATTGTTGACAGGGACAGGGTGTTTAGCTGCGATGCCAGTAACTGTGACTCTAGCACTGCGAGGGGACAGTCCCTGGTCTCATTAGGAGGGGAGCACAGAGTCACTGAGTGGTAAGCATCAAAGTCCACCGTTTGAGGAGGCGGGGGAAAGGATCCACAATGGTGTGTTTGTTGCCTAACAAGTGACCTTAGGTCAGCTGAAAAACAGAAATTATTTAGGAATTGGGATCAAGTGGAGGGAAGCTGAAGTGACCAGTGGACACAAAGGCCCTCATTGAAGAGTGAATCATAGGGCTGCACCATATAGGAAAAAAGTGACATCTCAATATCGAGATATGAAGAAATATGAGTTATTACCCTTAATTTTGGATTCAAAATGTAATTTATTGAAATGCATCTATGTGGTGCACTTTGGGAGCTAACTTATGAGTCTGGATGAACAATAGTGTGCTCGAGTTGCCAATTCAATCATAATTGGTTGTCCATTATAAATATGAATGGTTCTGATACAGCAAATTAAGTCACAACCACAAAGCATGTTAAACATGACACGTTTCGAGATGGATCATTGGGTTGGGTGGGTTGCGGCAGGCCCCACTGAGAATAGCCCACCATGGTTGACAGGAGACCCCTCCCTCTCCCATATGGAGATATGAGATATGAGTAGAGAGCATTAAGTCTACGCCCACGGGAAGAGTCAAGGTCTAGGCAAGGTTTGCTCATGGATGAAATGTAACAGAACGGAAGTATTTTAAACTGTTGTGGGTCCTACTGGACTGCAAAATAACTCATGGGAAACATTGGATTAGTCATGTTTTAGGATTAGTTTGTATTGGAACAAATAATCCATGCAGGTTTAACCTGGGTGTCTCCCTTGGATGTATAAAGAGAATTGGATACAGTGTTGGAGGCCGTTCATTCCTAGTTGCTCAGTGGTGCATATAGCCAAAATGGCCTGACTCTCGAGAGCAAAAGTACTTAAATGGGCCCAAAGAGTGTGCTCACTAGCCTTTTGCTTAAGCCCCGCCTCTAGTTCGATTCATCACTTAAATTAATGGTGAGGGAAACTATTTCAGGATTTGGCTTTTAGCGCATTTTACAACTTTTAGACCCTAATGATTTGATGAAGGGCTATAAAGTGTTCGTGCTGGGTAGTTTACTTCATTCAAAACAAATTATTCTCTGAATTACAAACGTTTCTTTTACAATGCAGGTCAATAGGGAAAAATACTGTTTCGGGCCAGTGAGATTTGATGAACTTTGATAAGTTTAAATGAGAAACTACTATGAACTAATTACAAAGAAACAGTACAGGGACAAATCCATTCTGTGTCCGATTTGGCCTCGTTTAAAAAATTCTAAGGATTTCGATGCAATTGATCCAATGATGAGCATTTCTACTGCTGACCGGCATTATGTCAAGGTTAGATGCATATTGAAAAATAAATAAACAATAAATGGGTAAGATACACAGAAGGATATCAAATACCCATAGCAAAGGAAACAGAATACCCAAACAGAAATGTGTCAGGATTAGATTCAAATATATAAACTTGAAATATCGGAGATACATTGCAAGATACAATTGTTTAAATAATGTAAAAGATGAAAATATGATTACATTTGCATTTCATATGAACTGAGCTACCCTGCAGTTGTATTCATAGACCTACTGACATCTGAAAAACTGAAATTCAGACACTGAAGCGGAAATTCTGCCAAGACAAAGTACAAGAGCCAAAGCTGTTTACGCCTGCTGCTTGCTGTTTATCGATTTGCCTCGGTCTGCACTGCGTGCTAAGGTTAGCTTGATGGTGACTGCAAACTGCTGGGCCTGCCTTAAATTGATTTCCTATAACAAGACAGTTGAGTTCAGAGTGATCCAGAAGCTTAGGGGGGGGGGGGGAGTGGGAGTTAACTTTAGGCGGAAAACCAAAATCATATGACAGTCTTGTGAAAGAGCTACTTTTAAAACAGCAGGATGCACACAGTTTTATAAGACTTTCTTCAAGCTGTAACTCAATCATATTTGATGCGAGTGAGTTTATGACCCTGCTGCATAAAGAAAAAGCAAATTGTGAGTCACCTTTTTCAAATATCAAGCTTCAAGTAGTGCTTAACGTAAATTAGGCTTCGGGTGTACTGAGTAGCGAATTTAAGGATTGAAAGAGGCAAAAAGATGTGGGGGGCTGCATGGGCCAGGTGACAGATTTAACAAGGTAAAAGCCATTTGCTCATGCAAAAGAGAAAAAAAAGTATTTGAGATGTGTCATGGAGAAGATAAACCTATTTTTAATAAATCTATTAATCCATACTGACCCCTCACATTTCTTGTTTTCGGTGTGCAGGAGAATAAATTCAATGATTTAATACATGATTTAAACACTATTAATTGCATCCCTTAGAGTGGACAAGAATAGTATTTTGTTTCAGTAAATTGCTGCTGTCTCTCAGTCTGGTTAAGACAGGTTAGCAATCCACTAATGTCCTGTCAGTGTGGATTGGCTGACAGAAAACCTATGCGCTGCTCACTTATCGTAGTGAGGATTTCCAGTTAAACAGAAAACATGCATGCACTAAATTGTTGACATTCCCTCCTGTGATGTTCTGTCTTGGGTACGTCTCAAGAAACTAACCATTTATTGATCCTGGCAGCTGGAGTTGTGTCTCTGGAGGGCAGGTGGCTTTTGGACAATTAAGAGAAGATCAAGGCCAACCCAAGCCATCCGCCCAAACACTTCATGTCTGCCTGCTGGCCTGCTCTGCGATTGACTGACGCCATATTCTCTGGGATCAGATTCTCACTAAATCAACACCCTTGGGGCTTTTTGTTGCCTCCCATGACTATGCCAGACACGGAAGTGGTACACTATTCAGTGTATTATTCCCCCGAGTGGCTCTGGATGGAGTGATTTATTTTAGAAGAGCTTTGTACCTAGCATGCCAACTCCCTGGACGAATAAGGATCCACTAAAGAAAACAAAAAGGTTCCTTACTGTACAGGAGACTGTCCTCAACCCATTGGAAAAACAAAAGCTGTTAGTAATAGTAACTAACCGGAAGCAGGGATACTGATGTAACCCCAGAACCGCTTTTCTAATGGCGACAGAAATAACAAGCCCAACATCAATGACATAAAGAAACTATACAAAAAAATAAAAATCAGGAACTGATCTCAAAGGTCTGTAACCTTTCGCCAGTGCCATTGGAACTCAACCCCAATAGTCACGGGGCCGTTTCTTATTTAAGCTGTCAATCTATCAAATGTTTACCATATTTCGTGAATCATCTGCCTTTTAAAATCGATCTTCATAGCCAACACACAATGATTTAAAAAAAGTACACATTAGCTTTGTTTTAAGATGTCTTTTACCTGTTAAATGACATGCCAAACTTTAAACTGAATCCCAAACATTACAGAATACTAACCACAATAACATATTTTGCCAAGAAATGTATACTTTTATTCTGGAAGAATGAACGTCCCCCAACTTTTAAACTTTTCATTGATCGGATGACACATTTTTTACCTCTGGAGAAAATGACATTGGAAAACTATAATCGTGGACATATTTTTCAAGCTCTGTGGTTGCCATTGTTTTCTCACTTGGAAAATATATATGAGATATGACCAGTGATGGAATGGTGCATTCTGTGGCTATTAGTCCTGACGGCCTAGTACTAGGCAGTCAAATACTAGTGCTAGTAGTATACTAGTTGTGCTGTTGTCATTGTCTACATTGTCGCTGTATTGTATAATTATTTGTTTGTTTTACTTTGATGTTTTTATTTTTAATTTAATTTCCTTTTTTTCCTATCTCATGGTGCTCGGGCCCCATTAGTCACATCTCACAGTTATTGAACCTCCCTCTCGCTCGTCTGTGAAGAGGAGATGGAAGCACTTCACCCTGAGGACATGGTCAGTGACAGTTGGAATGAAAACCCTGAATCAATCTGGCCAAGAAGAAAGAATGGGGGGGTACTGACATTACAGCCTGGTACTGAACGAGTGCTTTAATTACTAGAGAGTTTTCCCCGGCCCTGCATCAAGCGCTAGGGACCCTGACATCACTGCAAAGCCTGACTAACTAGGACAGTCACAGGCAGCCCACATGACAGCCTGTAGAGGAGGCTTGAAAGAGGATCTCAACAGCCTTTGCGAAACAGATCATCGGCGTGCCTTGTGATACAGGCGTAGAAAAAAAGATCTTCAAAAGTGGCCAAGGAGTGTCTCAACAAGAGGGGATTATAGGGTTTACCCACATGCAGCGAACAGAGATAATACATTTATAGTTTCTGCTCAGGCACAAGGCGCAGATGTTCTTCCTCTAAAACATGATGTCATCTGTGATAACAGACCACTCTGACCAACAGTCTCTGTGTTCACAGCCCTCTTCCTCTTTCAATAGTTTCAACCCACAGCTTTATACTTAAGTAAGCGTGACGTCTTAGCTTGTTAAAAAGGCAACAAACTAAGTATGTAGTTCAATTTATAGTGTTTCCTTCAGCTGCAGAGCTGCTTTTAAGAGAGGAGAATGCCATTTATTTTAGAGTAGGCTTAGGTATTTCCTCCAGGAGGCCCCTATCCCCTAACATGAAC